CTCTCTCTCTCTCTCTCCCTCTCCCTCCCCCTCCCCCTCTCTCTCCTCTCTCCTCTCTCTATCTCCTTCTCTCTCTTCCTCAGTCCTTCCCTCCCTCCCTTTCTGCCTCATCCTTTATAAGCAAAGGAAACCCTCCCCCTCCTCTCTCCCACACACACCACACATCTCTTTGCCTGTCTCCTTCTCTGTATTTCTATGTGTGTCTGTGATATGTGTGTGCCTGTCACACATATGGAAATCAGAGGATAGAATGAGCTGTGAGCCCTTCATTCTGGTTAAGCCAGAGCCTCTTGGCCACCACTGCATACTCCAAGGCTGGCTGGTCCATGAACTTCCAGGGACTCCTCTATCTCCTCCTCTTACCTCAGCACTGGAGTGCTCGGGGTGCAAATGTGCACTGTTGCATCTGGCTTTGAATGGACTCTGGGGACCCAAACCCAGGTCCTCATACTTGCATAGAAAGTGCCTTACCCACAGAGCTGTCTCCCAAGCCTAGGAAACATCTTTGACATAGGTCACATATTCAAATATATAGTGAAATTGTCCATTATTTCTCAAGGTCTACGCAATAGCATGAATAGTTGTTATATACTTTTTTTCTCTGCAAAATATATAGTATTTTGACTTATCATTTGACAGATTTTCTTTAGATAAGTCAACAATAAAGCCTCAGTCATTAGGCCACAGCTTTAATTACAAAGCTGGGCTTGAATCACTGGGGTGAGGAGGGAGACTTGTCAAAGATTTTATCTTGTGATCACACATCTATTCAGGACTGTAAATGTGTCAGAGAAACCCACTGAAGGTTCCTGAGGGAAACTGGAGAAGGTTTGCAAAGGAAACGCTAACCCCATACAAGTGCCAGAAGTATAGGAAATCAATGTCTACAAAATCTTTAGACTGTCAAAAAAACAGGGTTGGGGCGGCTTTGGCTCTGACTCCCTGAGACACCCACAGGAATTATTAGAGGCTCAGAATGGCAAGCCTCATTACCATAGATGGGATATAGCTTATTTTCTGCAGACTTCTTGGTCATCACCCCTTAAAAGTGGTGAAATGCTGATATCCCCCAAACTCTCATGAAAGATGGAGTAACTAAATTCAATTTTTGACTCTAAAATTGCTAACTTCCTACCAAAACCATTAAGAATTACACGGAGGACTACTTCTGTGCCTAGAAGCAGAAGTGAAGTGTTATCTCTAAAGCCTGTCATGGTTAAAGGTATGGGGGAGAACAGCATCTAACTTTATCCTGATGAGTCACAGATGAAAAGCAGCTCAGTGTACCACGACTGTAAATGAGCTTGGCTTAGGGCTATACTTACAGTAGAATACAGAGCATTAACAATTCACTTTGTGTTTTAGGGGGTGTGATGGAGTCATGTGTATATGTCCATGTGTTTGCACCTGTACCCATAAGTGTGAAGATGATGTCAAAGCCAGGTATCTCCCCCTATTTTTGCAGGGTCTCTCAGTGAACCTGGGGTTCACTAACTAAGCAAAGCTATTAGGCCAGCAAGTCCTGTGGATTATTTTAATCATCTCTGCCCCTGATGCTGGGGCTCTAAAGGTGTGCCACTGTGCTGGACTTATTGCATTAGTGATGGGTGGTCCAAATCCAAATCTTCATGCTTCCTCAGTAACCACTTTACTGAAGGAGCCTTCTCCTCAGTCCTCAACTGTGGCTTTTACAGTCCATGAACAATATAAGAGCAAATAGACATCTGGAAGAGATAGGGGACATACAGTCTATACTGGTCAACATTAAACATGCCTTCAAATAGTCTATCCCACATGCTGGACACAAATGAAAGGAACTAATCAATATGCATTTGCCATGTTCATTCCTATCATGAATAAATAGTTCTTTCAGGTTGTGCACTTCTAATGTTTACTGTCTTCATGAGTGTGGTTTCCGTGGTCACTAACATGGGAGCAGAAGAGATTGTTGTGACATCAGAGCTTGCAAATAAGGAGGCTGATAACAAAAAAATGACTCTAGACACAACATTGTTTTCATAGTTTAGCTTCTCTCAATTACTGCAAATGACAGACCTTTTATCACAGCTTAATTCTCTTGAATTGGACCAATTATATGAATTTCCTGGCATGCTTATAAAATACAGGGGCCAGATGCATTCCTAGAGAATGTTACCCCTGTGGAAGAGGTGGGAACCTGATTCTTCAGTAGGGAACCAGGTATCAGAAAGCAAATGTCGGTGCTACATAATTGCCCTGGGATTGACATAGGTTCATTGAGACCTGGTTACAGCTCATTCTTTTCAGCCTTGTCCTAATGTTTAGGGACGTGGCCTTTAGGAGATGTTTGCAAAATGTTGTCCATATGCTGTTGAGGATGGGGCACATGAAACATGATCTATTAAAGCTGTCTTTCCACATTTGGTGTTGGGTGTCACAATTTTGAAGAGTGACTCCTCTTCTAAATCCCCTCAGATTCTATACTTCAATCAGTTCAAGGTGAAGACTTTACAGTAGAGATTTGTATGCAGCAAGTCAATTGGGAAATGCTGGGGACCAACATCTTTCAAAGATTCAAAGAAACAAGAACAAGCAGAAAGCTGTGTTGAAAAGCTGGCAACCCAGTAAACAACGGTCCAGCTGATCCCAGTAAATGGTCCAACTGATCCCTAAGAAAGTTCTAGCACAAAGAAGGCCCTTCAGTGTAGTCAGATCCTTATTCTGCCCAATATGTGTTTTATCAGATGTGGGATGCCCTTCGTGACCTTGCACAAGACAGTTGTCTTATTAGAACTGTTCTAGAGACATCAATCATGACGCACGGGTAATGAAAAACAACTAGAAACTAAGTTGGCCTGAAAGTAGCATCTGGGACCCACAACACAGCATCCACTCTTAAGATTAGCATCAGTTCAAATCTCCCTCATCTTTGTGTCTCATACGTCATAGCCCTGTATTTCAGTGAGGAAACAAATTATCTTGATTCTCCAATCACTTCTAAGAAAACTAGGATGATCTGAAGACTTTGAACCTGGGATGTAGCAGTTAGTTCATGCAGTTTCAATGAACAATGAGGGCAGAGAAGGGAAGTTAGCATACTTTAGCACCAAGATGCCAAGTTTCATTAAAGTTAGTTGGTCGAGGAGGAGAGCAAAGGGAACTAAACCAGAGAAGCAATAACAAAATCTCACATTACCAACCTCTTTAAGTGAACGAACCATACATTGGTAGTTTACATTGAAAAATAAAGAAATGTGCATTTTGCATATCTCAGAGAATCCAATAAGCCCTCTCATCAATCATGTAGTGGTCAGACAACCTCACAAATAAGAAGTGCATCCAAGCTTACTTCTGTAGTTATGGATGAATTTCAGGTGTCATGTGCAAGCCTTTACAGTGATCACTTTGACTAGGTACTGGGAAAACATGAAACATCACTCTGCCACTAAATGGTCTGTTTCTCAAGTTTTCAGCTGAGGATAAACATACTCAGGCCAATTGTCAGCAGAGTGTTTGACCTCAGCAAAGCCACACTGCTATCTGTGTTCTGGCATTTGTGTGTAGGTAGAACACATGTTCTCCAGAGCTAAGAGGCCTCCTGTTCTCTCCGACATGGAAGATTTTTAGATGTAAACTAACAATTATGAATGGCTCTCAGACACACCTCCATATTCTGTGTAGCTAAGGTGGTTTTTAATATGAGTGATTGTTATTCTGGTAAATGGCAGATATTTGTTAAGCCAACAAATCCTTGAACCCAAATCTAAGTCATTATATCCTCAAACAGGACAGAGGTCAATGCATATAATTGGCTTTGATAACAAATCCCAATGCCGGGTTCATATCAACCATATGTACAAATTATTCAGAGGTATTATAAAAGAAAAGATCTCAGTAAGTCTTCACACTCTAAACTCAGTTGACAAATGATGATGTCTTGTATTTTTATTCACGTTGATATACATCAGCTTTTGTTCAAATTTTAATCTCTCTGTGCAGTGAGATGCCAAGAAGCCTGATTCTTTCCAAGTCTCTTCCAGTGTTCCTCAGTATTTCCTAAGACTACTTGTTGAGTCTCTTTTTTTTTTTCATTACACAAAACACTCTAGTGTCTAAACCGGCAAGTGGCAGATGGAGTTCTCTTTTCTGCTTTATACTGACTAGTAGAATTTCTACTGAGGCTGGCACAGGTTTTTGTTTTGTTTTGTTTTTGCTGTGAGCTAAGCCTGGGGGTTTGTGTTGGGTTGCATGATGGCACACAGGTGTAAGGACTGTCACTCCTTCCTGGGAAAGTAAAGCAGGGATCTGTCCTTCCTCATTTGCATCTGAGACAACTTGAACTTTACAACTATGTGCAAGCCAAGTGGGTTTTGCTTTTCTCTGCTTCCTTGTACTTATTTTAGAGTCTCAACTGTTAGAAAAGAGCTGAGGTGGTAAAATACACACAAAAATTTTGGTAGGAAGCTATTTTTCTTTTTCACTGCAGGTTTAAAAGAAAAATATTTGGCCATTGTAACTTCTGCAACTAGAGCTAGTCAACAGTGGATTATGTTCATCTCCGTTCCCAAGACAGGCCTTGGAAACTGGTTTTCTATTTCTAAACTTTCAGCTTAATCTTTTTCTTCTATTTTTTTCGAATTTTTAATTTAAATTTTTTTTTGTATATGTGTGTCTGTACCTGCACATGTGTGTGTGTCCAGAGAGGCTAGAAGAAGGTGTTGGATCCCCTGGTATAATTACAGGCAGTTGAAAGCTACCTGATGTAGGAGCTAGGAAACTGAACTCTGGTCCTCGGAAAGAGCAGCAAGTACTCTCAACCACAGAACCATCTCCCCAGCCCAGTGTTTTTATTCTTCTCACCACTTCATTCTTCCCCCATCACCTAATTATTGCCAAGTCCAGAGCCTAATCATCTCCTTCTTGGATGATTGAAACATCTGGAGCTCATATGTCATCTCTCGTTCTTCACAAAAATCCTCATTTTCTGTGAATGATACTATAATAAAACTAAAGAGAAATGATATTTTTACTCCATTACTATAAGCAATATAAAGTAAAAAAAAAAGTTTAAAATGATGAACAATGACCTCCATGGGGACTGACATTCTACTTTCTCATATTCATCTAGCTTAAAAACTATAATGATGCACATCTTGAACTTCAGCTGTTGAAGAATACTTATATTCCATTACAGAACCTCATATCTTTATAACAATACCTTTGCTAGCTGCAAATGTCTTCCTCAACACTTGTATCATTTTTATTAATTTTTCAAATTCACTTCAAGTTTACTTCCTCTATGAGACATTTTCTGTCTACTAGAACTCAAGCAAGGATCTCACAGTGCTCATCTCAATGTGTTTATGAGTCTATCTACAGACTTCATCCTAGAGGTTAAAATTCTGATTACCTTCATCCCACGTGAATGGATAGAGTCCTATAAAGGGAAACACTACATTGTGACCATGTTATTTCAGAATTCTATGGTTTACCTTTCTTCTGTAGTCTGTTTATCTGAAGGAGAGATTTGTATCTGTATGATGGATGTGATAAAATAATGAGCTGGTCATAGATCTGCTATGAAATAATAAGTCCTCAAAATCCATACTTAGAGGACTTATTAGCAACAGTGCAAAGAAAACTAGCAACAATCCTAAAAACTATAAATTTGGAAACAGTGGTTATAAAAATGGAAGACTCCTTTGAGACACATCTTCCCTATAACATTTAAAGTAGGCTCATGAGCCCCAGAGGCATTTGGGATTTTACTGGTTGATAAACAGCTTCATTGCTCTGTTTATAAGGGTTTATGGACATGCAAACATGAAGAGGCTTATCCTGAAGCAAGAATTTGTGTGAGATGGGATGGCACGGCAGGTACTCTCCCAACGTAATTCTCCTCATATTTCTCTCTGTGATAATACATGAAAAGGGTCCCACAGACATGCTATCATATCTATCAGATATCTAAATGTTAAAGGTGGGGCATTTAATATAAACTAAAGAGATAATAAAAATCTCACTTTGTCAATTTTCTTCTTCATCCATTTATTTTATAATTATTTAATTAAGGTATTGCTTCCTTTATATTTGATACAGCAACTGTTCTGTGAGATTGCAGCTGCTCCCATAAACATCCTATCAGGTGTCTGTGATCCAGTCTTTATCTTCCTCACTGCCAGATCCTTAGTTTATAGTCTGGATAGCTGTGCTCAGGTCCAGGCAGTTTGAACTAAGCCCATTCTTAAGCCTTGCTCCTAATGTGCTACCTCTTTTGGTTACGCGAACTTGTGGTCCAATGTGCTTCAGGAGACATACAGGGATTCAGAAAACTTCATGACAAATTGTTAAATCAAGCTGACCAAACTGTCTTCTCATTTTCCTGGATCTTCGAAACATGTATCTTGATGGATACAGGCAAAATGAACATTCAAGAAAGTCAAGAAGAAAGCAAAAAGGGGTGTTGAATTTAGTGATTTGTATTTAGCTACTGAAGCAAGACTGCATGCTCATTATGGAACAAACACAAAACCATATTTTGTAGATTATAAATATTTGTAGCTCAACATGGTCTGATGCTGTTTGGGAAGGTGTCTTAGGCTTTCTATTTCTGTGAAGAGTCACCATGAACACTGCAACTTATATTAAGGAAAACACTTAACTGGGCCTGGCTTACAGGTTCAGAGGTTTAGTCCGTTAGTGTGAGCCACTGGACCTGG